AATGAAAATGCAGGACAGGCAGTTGGTAAGTTCATACCGATAATAAGCAAGATGAAAAAAAAAAAATTCGTGCAAAAAGCAATACCGTTAGTGATAATAGAGAATGATTAATAAAAAATGCAAACTCACACGGCTCATGCGCTCCGTACTGGCCCGCTGAAATGAAACAAATAGAGATCTTGAACTCGAATTACAAAAATGTGATAAATCATCATTCGCCAGAAAAGCAGACTCGAAAATCGTACGATAGTTCATCTTCGATCTGTTTCTTCCCACCCTTCATTTAATTACACAGTTTCTTGCAACGACGAGGATACTTTTCCCAGTCTTCCCATAAGTCAAACTTCCGACATTCGAAATCTCATCTGTCTTTAACATATCTAACGTGGACAAAATAAGCAATGTCGGTTTACTTTTCCAATTCACACCATGCTAAGTTACGGCATTTCATCGAATTCTGTGCATTCCTGTTAGCAGTGTTTTAAAATTTTAATTTGAACAAATTCAATTCTTGTTAAAATTCACTGGGTGCGCATTCAAGAATTCTTGTTTTGATCAAATTATCTGAATTTTGATGTATTCATCGCTGACTTTTTCTTTCATGACCAGAAAGTTCAATTTTTTAATGGAACTGACAAACAGGCAGTTCTTCTGGATGTTGCTGCTACCCACATAATTCAAAACAAGAAAAGCTGGATGCAAAAATAGACTTTAATTTTTATTGCTTTTCGCTGTTGTCATTTCTCAGCAAAACTCTGCTAAATCGTCAACAGCTGTTACTACTGCTACTACAACTAACGCATACTATTAGCTCTAGTACAGGCAAGTTAAGAAAAGGAAGCAGCAGGAACGCTAAATCTGACAACTGGGAAGCCTTTTCTCTTGAATTTGCTTCTAATCACTGAATTTGACAGATCTGGAAACAAAAGCGAGATTTTGCGCATTAAAGACCATCTGGCAGATCTCAGTCTAGCGCACCATTGAATTGAGCTTGCCACACAATGAATAAGTCTGGCCCCATCAATACAATTTACTAACATTTCTTAACCAAAACTACCAATTTTGATGCTGCGCGGGCGCGAACGAGGAGTTCGGTTTTTTGTCATTTCTCTTGCATGACGGGACAACCCACCAGTATGCGTTTGATACACCACGTGATTTGAGCTACTAATACACGACCCTTTTCGCGGCCAATTCTGTGTGTCACTGAGAGAATTTTATTTATAAAGGCCGTAGACCACCAATGAGTTGAAGATCTAGGGAAAGTGCTGAAAAATTTTTTGAGTGAATGTTTTTACGTGAGTAGAGCTTTCTTCATTTACTGATGCCTCACAGCAGAACAAAAATGCGCTTTTTAAGATCTAAAAAATGTGTCCAGATAGGCCTTTCGAAAAATATACAATTTTTTACGAGATGCGACTCTTTTTAAGTCTTTTATACCGAATTTTCAACCCCTAATAATGTGGTGATCAATGGCTTTCTCTTTCGTGTTCAGTCTGCGAAATTTCGCTTCATTCCAGAGCCAGCAGAGACAATTACCGTCAGTACGAATCAACAAATTGTGAGAGTATTCGTTCTGCTAGTGATGGATTTTTAAAAGAGGACAAGTTAGCCTGAGAACGGGGACACGCCTCAACAGCGTTATACCTCATTCGTTGAAATTAGCATGTAAATTGCACTTTGAACAGTGCTGCCATGTGATTTGAGAGCAAGCAGCCCGGTGACACTACTGCTGCAGCCGCAAGCAACGCCAATTCACCTATTAAGGATTTGTTGACTGATGCCGGATGCTGCTACTTTTGCAGCACGCTACAAACGCTCTCCAGCGCCCAAATTACTCCCACAGGGGAGGGGCACTGCAATGAACTGGAGTGCAGGCCACGTGTGCAAGAATTTCCTCGAGAGTGCACTTCACTGCTGCTGCATTTTATTCTTTTGGAGCACCTCTAAAAGCTTTTAACGCCTCGTT